AAAAATACCCTACCTTTACCTCTCCCACAACCAACTGTCAGGAAAAATACCAGCTTCCTTGGGGAGGGTGAATTTCAATGTGATTGATCTGTCTAGGAACAAACTCGAGGGCGATGCGTCGGTGATATTTGGCGGGAATAAAACGACCGAGATCGTGGATTTGTCGAGGAACTTGCTGGAGTTTGATTTGTCTAAGGTTGTGTTTCCTCGGAGTGTGACTTGGTTGGATCTTAATCATAATAAGATATTCGGAGGGATTCCTGAGAAGGTGGTGGAGCTGGAGTTGCAGCTGCTGAATGTGAGTTATAATAGGCTGTGTGGTCGGATTCCGGTCGGGGGAAGGTTGCAGAGGTTTGATGTCTATGAGTACTTCCATAATAAGTGCTTGTGTGGGAAGCCACTCGGCAGCTGCAAATGATGTATTTGGAAAAGATGAACTCATTGCCAAATATCTTTTAGTATTTTTCCTCTGTGTTTACTTTTTTATGGTGGATCTGGCTTGTGGTTTTGTTTGAGTTGTTCTTTGAAGCTTGGATTTGCTAGATTTTGAGTTGGGGATTGGAAGGATGAGTTTAATGTGTAAATAATGAAGTATGAGTTTGTGTGCACTACTAGCATTGAAGTTTTTACTGACCAAAAAAGCGTTGAGAAAAGCCTAAAAAACGTAGGGAAAAACTATCCCAACGTCTTTTTTTTAAAAAAAAAAAACGTTGGGATGGGTACTCTATCCTGACATTTATAAAAGCGTCGGGACAAGTGTTTTTTAATTTTAAAAAATAAATGTAAAATATGTATATTAAGCACATTCCACAGCCTACGACGAATAAAACACTAATTATACATGTACGTTGAAGAAAAATTCAAGCTCAACAAGGGCACATGCGCCTGTCCCAAGACCTGAACCCGGGAGACATTAAGCTTACCAGCAGGTTAAACTTAAAACCTCTAAACCAGTATGATCGAGATACTCCAAATCCTTGCCAATTGGACTACCGCTTGGTGGCTAGAACTATGCAACACTATTAATATTGGAATCCATTTCAAGACATTAAAAGCCTTCATCAAACAGCACGAATATTTCAACGTATATTTCATTTTTCCAAAGAAGAAACTAGAGTGAAATACAACCATAGATTTCATTTTTATTCTATTTACTTAAACTACTAATTCTGACCCTACGCCAATATGATTACAAATAATTAAAAAAGATCAAATTTACGTCAACCCATAATGAATAAGAGAGCATGGAGTCTTGGGCACCTTGAGAGCTATATCTGAATTGGATGGCCATGACTGCCTCTCTCGTAGAATCTCCCTTCTCCACAATCTGTTAAAGCTCTACAATCTTCTCCAACAAAATCTTGAATTTGAGTTGGCTGCTTCAATGAACTTTACTATCAATTTCAAGAGACTGCACGTCTGAAAATGCCCCAACATACATCCATAAGGGGAAAAAAAATCTTAAACTTACAGTTATAGTGTAAGGTGTTTGAAGTTTAGGGCAAACCTATCCAGCCTACACAAAAGTTCCTGTTAAGAATCATAGAGTTTCGCATGTGAGAGTGGTTGTCAAAGACTCAAACGACTGAAGCGGACTTCCCCCTCCACGAGAATAATCCGAAAGGCATTTTCAATTCGGAAGGCTTTTTTGTTTGAGTAGGCGGCTCTGAGTCTTGTGACTGCCCTATTCGGCAGAGAATCACGGGCCTTTCAGAGCAAGGTTCTCTCGGAACCTACCCATATAGAGCAGAGTACAGAGAAAAATGATGACATGAACCCAACATGGACATAGGCTAAATAAATGGGAAAGGATATATGCAAATAGATATCTAAATTCTAGTGGTGGTTAGTTCCTTGACGCCCACAGTTGTTAGTTCCACAGTTATTAGTTCCTTCACGCCTTTATAACCTCAACATTTGGTTTTTTTACAGTTGTGTTAATTGTATACCACCCACGATTTTTAACTATATCATTGTATAGGTACATGCAAATGCAAATGTTTTGAAATATTGAAAAAATCATGGCAGAGCTCCTCTTTGCATCTCTTGGAAAGCTTCTCTTTGCATCTCTTGCAAAGACACAAACTTTTCAGTTAGAGGGAGGAAAAAGTAACAAAAAAGTTTCAACCCAAACTCACATCAACCTCACAAACATCCCCAAAATTAAATTCACCAGCCCCACACAATATCAAATTTCATGAAAGCTTTCCAATTTGAAACAATTACCAAAAATTTCAAGAAATCCAACGTGAACAATTAAATTAATGAAATTTGGTCTATTATCAAAATAAACGAAAATTGTTTCTTATGGGAATCATGGTGCAACATAACTGGTGGTCAAGAAAGTTCGTTATCTACAAAACAAATAAATAAAACTAAGTTAAATATCACCCATTTGTTCCCGAACCGCACCTACAATTCAATCACCACCTGTGCTCCTCCTCCGCCGTGAACTTGCACCCACTTGCCAGAGATCAGAGGAAAACAGAAAAACCGAAACACATAAACACATAAACTCACATACCAAGAAATTAGACCCGAATCCGAGCTCAACCATTCTCTCAGGCATTTTCACAAACAGTTTGCAGGCACAGATACAATCGAAGATAAATCAGTCAGAAGGGAGGAAAGAAACAACAAAAAGCGAACAGCAATTACTCAATCATTCAAAAACATCAACAAATTCAGAAATGCAGAACCAAAGCAGGAGCAGAAATTGCTTACTTTTTCAAGTTGGGTCTAAGTTTGTTGACCCAACCAAGACGGCAGCACTTTCCAGTCCTCTGAAGAAGTCCTGATCACAATGGTTAAATTGGAAAAGAAAAAGAAAATTATAATTTGAAAAAATTTAGAGATAACATTAATATTCAAAATATATAAATAAAAAGACACAAAATATATAATTTTTGGAGGAAAAATAGATTTGGAGAAGAAATAAAAATATAAAAGATAAATTTTAGACAGAGAAAAGTTTGAACGAATATTAAATCTTAAGAGAGAGAAATGAGGGTGATCGGTTAGAAACAAAAAAAATAAATAAATAAAAACATTAAAGTCGTACATGAGCTGGTTCACAACGTCGTGAGACAGTTCGATCCATATCTAGTGTAGGCGTTAGATCATTGAGATGAATTTTCCCTAGTACGAGAGGATAGGGAAGGACGCACCTCTAGTGTACCAGTTATCACCTCTTAGTGTACCAGTTATCATGTCCCATGGTAAACTTTGGATAGCCAAGTGCGGAGCGGATAATTGCTGAAAGCATCTAAGTAGTAAGCCCATCTCAAGATGAGTACTCTCCTATTCGGACTTCCCCAGCACCTTCAGTAGAACAGCCAAGACAGCGATGAGTTCTCTGCCCCTGCGGGGATGAAGCGGCAGAAATTTTGAGAATTCAAGAGAATGTCACGGCGAGATGGACCGTTTATCATCACGATAGGTGTCAAGTGGGAGTGCAGTCATGTATGCAGCTGAGACATCCTAACAGATCGTTAGACTTGAACCTTGTTTCTACATGATCCGATCCATTCGATTAGAGATGAAAAATTTAGAGAGATAATGACAAATATTCAAAATATTAAAATTTGAGAGAGATAAAAATAATTTTTTAAAGAGATATTTATGAAAAAAAAAATAGAGTGAGAAAGAAAATTTTCAATATAAATATGTGAAAGAAAAAAAAAGTTGAGTTTTATAATAAAAAATAATATTTTGAAAAACAGAAATATGTTTTTAAATTTTTTTTTTTTGCGTTGAATTTATATAGAATTTGAAAATCCCTTTTGAAAAACAAAAAATAGAAAATTGAATCGGTTATCAAACACCCTTGTTTTTTAAAAAATTAAAAACCAAAAACAGAAAACGAAGGGCCCGTTTGATAACCATTTTAGTTTTTGATTTTTTGTTTTTCTTATTTTTAGTTTTCGGTTTTTGGTTTTATGTTTTTAAAAAACAAAAAATGTTTGATAACCATTTTTTGTTTTTTGTTTTTAAAAAACAAAAAACCAAAACATGTTTGGTTACCATTTTTAGTTTTAAGTTTTTAAAAGTTAGAAAATTGAAAATACATATTAGAAAGAGAAAAATTTATATAGAGTAGAGATGACAATAGTGTGGGTGCGAGTGACGATGCTTTCTTCCCCATTCTCGGGTTCGTGAAAATTTTTAGTCTCCGTCTCCACCTCGTTCTTGGGTCCGAGAGATGTTCTTGAGAAAAATTATCGGTTTTATAATTGTTTTTAATTATTTTTAGAATTTAAGTATAAAAAAGTGTAATAAATATATATTAATTATTTAAAAATTGAATCGGGGACGGGAACGAGGTTGGGACATGCATTTTCTATTTTTGGGATACAACCCCACGAAAATTTTTGTTTTCCCCGAATGCTACTTCTTCGACGCCAAGGCACCAAGCTAAGACCCCATCGAATATCTTGTAGTCCAAATTGCCACAACATTTTGTGAAGCATTTCAAGTCTTTCCTGGCTATGTGCACTGACGACACTGATTGCTTTAGTTCTTGACCCTCTTCTAAGCCTATGGGAGAAGATTGGGTAAAAGAAGCTTTTAGCCCTTGCTTGTTCGGTGTTATTTCTCAGTCGTCCAATGGTCTTTAATCGCATGAAAATGGAGATGGAAATAAACTTTTGGAAGATAAATTTTAGAGAGATAAATAAAAATGTTTAGAAAAAATATAGTGAAAGAAAAGTTAAAAGACAAAAAGAGAAAAATTTTGGAGAAAAAAACAAAGTCGAGAGGAAAAGATATGTCGAAGAAAAAAAAGAGAAAAATTATAGTGGAAACAAATTTAGAGATAAAAACAAGATTCAAATATAAATTTTATAAAAAATAAATAAACACATAGATAAATAAAAGTTAGAAAATTGAACGAGAAAATAAAATATAGTTTTTAGAGTAAAGAACAGATTAGATTAGAAGAGAAAAAAGTTATAAAATATGAAATTTTAGAGAAAAAAAACTAGGAAAAATATTAAATTTTTAGAGGGAGAAATGAAACTGGTCTGTTAGAAAAAAAATAAAAATACAGAAAAATTTAGAGATAGACAAATAACAATAAATATTCAAAATATGAAAATTTTAGACGGAGGAAAATAAAGTTATGTAAAGAGAAATTTAAAAATAAAAAAATTTATTGTGAAAAATAAAATTTTTAGAGATAAATTAGAGAAAGAAAAAGAAAAGTTGAATATTAGAAAAAAAAAAGAGATCAAACTAGTATTTTTTATTTTTGAAATTTACATAGAATTTTAAAATGGTTTTCGAAATAAAAAAGAGAAAATTGAATTGATTATCAAACAATCATATTTTTGAAAAATTAAAACCAAAAACCAAAAATAAAAAACAAAAAACGAAATAGTTATGAAAGAGATCCGAAGTGATTACAAGGGATCTTAATTGAATTGAAACCTTGAATTAGTTACTGTGAAATTATTTGAATATTTTACGCTTGCGGAAATTCTGCCATCCGATTGTTGAGAATTTTAAATTTCTTTAACTCAAACATCCTTATTTAAATAATGAACTCAATCCAACCTAACCATAAAATATAAAAGTTGGGTCGATAGAGTCACTAATTTAAAATTTTGTTTAACAAAARGTTAATATTTTAAACAACTATTTACCTACTTTCCAACATTGAATTAAGATTTGTAACTCTTTATTGGATTTCCATTCCTCAGTCAAGTCACCCTCTGAACSACCCATAATTTGTATTCGTTTGGCCACTAAAGAATTCATCTTAATTTCTATTTTTTATTTTTGGTTATGGACTCTTGAAAATTATTTTATAATGTTGTCCTGCACCGATTACTAACTAGATAAGGATTCCACATTGAAAATATAAGAGACCTAATAAATGTTTATAATGAACATACACTACTCTTGTCATTACCAATTAATTTTAAAATAGAACCCCATGAATATTAATATGATATTAGAGTTCAAGAAGTTCAAACGAGCATCCAATCCAAAAAAATGATCCGACAATTTTTTCGAATAGATTGAACTATTGGTAGAGTCCATGTCAAATGTTTCGAGAGATTATCTCATYCTCATCAACCACAAGACCCAATTGAGTCATCGTCAAATTGAAAAGCATTTATGCCTATCCCCATATGGGCATATTATTCTCTGAAATTGGTGTGTGGTTCTTGAAAATTTTCATCTTGTGGGCGCTGTAGTGACCTCTCGAGGGTTTTTGATCTCCAAATAATTTAAACCAATTGGTCATGCTAATATCCATTTTCGGACCTGATTTTTGTTTCAGCTTTTTGAATTCTAATACCATATTAATATTTATGGGATTCCGTCACAAAATCAATTGGTCATGAGAGAAGTAACTCATTTCTATTATCCTTAATTTGCCCCTCAAGAGTACTTGCCCAGAAATCAACATCAACAACATCTATGAGACGCTTTAAAATTCAAGGACTCCTCCTGGACACAAAATTTGAAATTTTAAAGATTTACTAGACGGTTTTCAAAATTTAAGACCCATTAATTTTTATTTTAACTCGTGGATTTAGGATGTCAACGTTTAATAATAATATCAATTTACAATCTCAACATAGACCAATCTTTTTTTTTTGTTGAGTTAACAACATGTGGGTGAGAATTTGACTAGTTGACCGATGCTCAGGTTTCAGTTATATGTTAGTTGATAAGACATTAATTACTTTATTGAAGTTGAAAATTCAATCTTTAATTCAAAAATGGTTGAGGAAAATAGGATTGAATTATCTTAATTGACCATCTAAACCAAACTTTAGGACAAGAAATAGTAGGATTTATTATCATGATAAAATGAATGAGGTTGAAATTGTTTTGTTTCAAAACTTATTGAAATCCAAAATAAATGTTCGATGGAAAAGCAAGTTGATCGGTTAATTCAATAAAAAATGAAATGGTAGTTCTCACTCGATTTCGTTGGTACCGTCCAATCGAATCTAATTCCATTGTTGACTTATGCCATTTGAATGAGTCAATTTTAAAGTTCAACCAACCCATTTTCAAAATATCAAGTGGATGGATAAAAATCTTTCAAAAATCCTTCATTTACAACTCTATTAACATTAATTTTTATATACTTTTTATCATATAGATTCTTTAAAATATGGTTTTCAAAAATGTACATTTTTGGTTCTTTTAAAACTTTCAAGTATCTATATTTTACTCTATACAATTTTTTTTTTAATTATTTTGGTCCGTAGTGTTATTATGTCACTTAAATACTCACTGAATATTCAATATTGTCTCAACTTATAATATTAATATATCATCTTAATAGATACAACTTATAATATTATTCACTACATAATCAATAGATACATTATTTTATTGTGTGACATTCACATTTTAATTTAATTTTATTTTAGTTGATGGGTACCTCTACCTCACAATACAATGACGTGAGCATATTAGTACGCTCATTTTAAGAGGGGATACAAATACACATAAACATAAAGGAAAAAGATCGGTCTAACCTGAACTAAGCAATGTGTATTAATTTTTATTACAAACTTTCAATTTTATCAAGCTGCACCTTAAATTTGGACAAATGTTGCAACATTCACTTTAAACTTTAAAAAGTGTTGCAGTTTCTATCCTATCAATTTTCGTGAGAAGATTTGAAAAAGTATTATTATATGTATCAAATGAATAACAAAACATATATTTGTTATAAAATTGATAGAATTCAAATAAAAACGATACAAAGAGTTAGATTTATTTTTTTTTAACAGAAATATTGAATAGAGGATAAAAATTGTGAGATTTAGATTCAATTTAATTTGTTAATTTTTAGGGTAAAACCCGAATCCCAGATTCTACCTAGCTAAGGCTTCAAACACAGGACAAAGATATGGAAAGGTAGCATAGGGGCTAGTGAACGCCAACCGAACACGAAACCATATTGTTTAGTATAAACATAATATATATTATTTAACTAGATCTAAGGGCACGGGCTCCAATATAGATTTGTCCGTGTGACTATGAAAAAGTTGGAAATTCGAATCTCCACTCGCTACGAGTTGTTGAACTAAACAAACAAAACAAAAATAAAGACCAAAATAAACATTAGGACTAAAATAAAAATAAGTAAAAAAAATTAAATGAGATTTAAAACTTTTTGAAATGATTATATTGTTAAAATATTATGAAAATATAAAACATAAATTAAAGAATCCAATATAAGGACCATTTTGAGTAGGCATATTTGTCAGTCGAATCCAACCATTTTTGGGATTACATTCCACATTCCCTTCAAAGAAATGCTACTTTAATTGCACTATCCCTTCACAACTTTAATTGTGCAATCTTCCTCTTGCAACTTTAAAAAGTATGGCAATTGAGGCTTCAAGAATCATTGAAAATAGTATTTTCTATAAGTGTTCGATGAATTATAAAACATATATTTAGTATCAATGGATCGAATTCGGACAAAAATGACACTAGAATTTTCTTTCTTTTTTTGGTTGAAATTTATAAGTTTTGACGGAATTAGTTTAGGCGTGTTTTGTTAGTTATCTGAAAATTGAAATTTAGAAACAACGATTCGATGAAAAACAAGTTGTATTCCATATTTCTAATGTTTTAGAAATATGAATTAAATTTACCCAAGCCATCAATTTAAGCTTTTGAGTTGAGTATAGTTTATTCATCCTTAACATGGTATCAAAACAGGAGGTCATCTGTTCGAACCTCTCTATTGTTGGAGGAAGCAAGCAATCTCCACTAGAGCGAGAATAACTAGTTGGCTTGGTTTCGTCTCCGTCTCAACTCTCTTCCCTTCTTATACTCGTATGTGGGTTGAGTGGAAATGTTGTTTCAAAACTTTCGACCAAACAGAAATTCATTGAATTCCAAGGCCTTGATTTCTAGTTAATGGCCTATTTAGTAGCTCAAGCTTTTGAATGATTTTAAGTTTTGGCGGATTCCAAATAAATTCCATCGTTTGTTACAGAGAATGATTTTAAATAATCAAAATCGTGTTTTCACTTAAAAAATTTTCCAACCAAAACGATTTTTCAGGATTTGAATAGAATTTGAAAATAAATTACTTATTTAAACTAAAACTAATAAATTAAGATTAAAAGCCTGCATCATCAAACTTTTAATTTCTTTTTCTTTCTTACCCAATTAAACATAAAAAAAAAAGTTAATTACATTCATTTCAAATTACTCTCATTTTCAACGAGATTAAATTTTAAAATTATTTCTGGATGGAAAAAATGAGCTATCCAACCAAGATCTCTAACTAATTTCCCGGAATAAAGTAGATACATATAAGTAATAACGAAATGAAATACAAGATATAGGAACTCAAAAGCTTAACACATATTTTTATAGTGGTTCACCCCAAACTCGAGACTACATCCAATCTTCTGCAACTATAGGTCTTTCTTTCAATACTCTACAATGATCTCAAGATATCACGACAATGGATAGTGGCTATCTAGCTTTAAGTACAATGACAAAGGATACTTAGGATTATTAAACGAATACCTCACTAAACTCACGAGAACGAGCTATCGATAATGTTCTACGGCCCCCTTTTCTCTCTTCTCCCACACTGCTAGTTGCCATGCTTGATCTTTTATCATTTCTATATCAAATGACCTAGTAGAAAAGAAGGCTTTTATAACTTTAGCGCCGTAACGCCACAACACATGCATTAAGTGGACGCTATGGCGCTCCAAATCAGATGCTTCAAGTTGTTGCCCCATGACACTGAAATAAAGCGCCTAGGCACTAGATCGCTTGATCACCGCAGTTCCATTGTTTCATAACATTTTTGAGATTTTAAATCACAGGATAAATTATTTTTCAAGTATTCTTGATGCCAAACTAGAATTAAAGTCAAGTATAAATGGAAACATTATTCTTACCATTCTAATCCCAACCATTTCTCATAGCTTTTTATACATTTACATTACTATTACATTATTTTATCTACTTTCTAAATCAGGTCAATATAATTATATTCGTTGTTTCTTTATCTTTAAACTTTAGCTCCACCACTTACACCAAAGTATTGGAGAAGGAATAATAAGCAAGCACACACATCAAACTTTTTATTCGAACTTGAAAGGAACTCTACAAAATTTGGCTATAAATTGGAACTATTTTCCCAAAGGGACAAAATTAAATCACAACATGGCTTCTTACGATGTTAAGCCTCACGTTGTCTGCATCCCTTTTCCCGCACAAAGTCATATAAACGCAATGTTAAGCATAGCAAAACTTCTCCACGAAAGAGGCTTCTACGTAACGTTCGTCAACACCGAATACAATCACAAGCGCATAATCAAGTCTCGAGGCCCTGACTCTCTCCACGGCTTATCAGACTTTCGCTTTGAAACCATTCCCGATGGCATGCCAGAGGCCTCAGACATTGATGCTCCACAAGACCTACGTGCGCTATGCGTCTCCAGCTTTGAAAATTTTTTAGCCCCTTTTTGTAGCCTTATTTCTCGACTCAATGATGCTTCGTCTGGAGACAGTAGCATTCCCCCGATCAATCGTATCGTTGGCGATGGTCTATGCTCATTCTCCATCCAAGCTGCTACGGAATTTAATGTTCCAATTGCACAGTTTTGGCCTATCAGCGCTTGTAGTTTGTTGGGTTTTATTCATTTACAAGAACTTGTGAATCGAGGGATCACTCCATTGAAAGGTGATTAATTATGATCCCCTTTATTTTGGTCTACTTTCTCTTAATTTATTTCGTACCTTTTTTCCTCTGGTTTCAAACACATTTGAATTATTAGTCAAATATAAAAAACAAAAACAAGTTTATAAAAACTATTTTTCTTTAAGTTTTTAACATTAGGCTTAAATTTTGACAACAAATAAATAGATAAAAGAAGTAAATAAACATGTGAAAATTAAATGGTGTTTCTAAGTTAAATTGTTCAAAAATAAAAAACTAAAAACAAAAGGAAAATAAGTCTTTTTTATTTTTTTTACTACTAATGTGAACCATTTGCTTTCATTTTTAGTTTATGACACATTGCATTTTTATTTATTACCATGTGTTTAAGACTTTCATGATGTTCATGAATTGTGGTATGTATAATGAATTATGGTAGGTAGTTATATATTATTGTACTTAAAAGTTTTCCATAAATTCTATAATTTTTTATAATTTTTTTATTATTTGTCTTGTGTATAAAATTGTTTTATTTACCTTGTACTTGCATGTTTAGGTCTATACATTTATTATTTGGAACAAAAATGTCATTTTTTAATACAACAAAAATGTCCAATAGATTATAATAGTCTTTTTTTTTTTTCTGTATTTAACAAATTGATGTAATATTCCAAAACAAAACATTTGTGCTAATGTGATGTGTGATATAAGATTTTAGTCCAATACAATGTCAAAATTTAATTTAATAGTAAGGACCAAAATAGACTTTTAAATCAAATTTAGTAACTAAAGTAAAATAGTAAAATATTCTAAATCAAACAAACATGAAAAATAAGATAACCAAAATAAGGTTAAACCTTTTTTGAAACAATGAAAGTGAGGCATAATAAGCTAGTTTTAAAATATTTTCTTAAAATAATTAATAAGCTAGCTTTAACGTACTATTAAAACTACCAAAATGGGCATAGTTCACATATAACTTTAACCAAGAGGTTGTGAGTTCAAATCCCTCCCCAGCATGTAATTAAAAGGACGTGAGACCTTATAGTATTACTCATCCGGGATGATGATCTTCGATCATAGGGATCCACTAGCTCAAGTTACATGACATCAATGATTTCGAAAAACCCAATAAAAATATATTTTGACCTATATATGAATGATTAATTTTTTTAAAAGTTTAATTATAATTTGCAGATGAGAGCTATTTAACAAATGGCTATCTTGAGACAACAATAATAGATTGGATTTCCGGGATGGAAAACATACGACTCAAAGATCTTCCAAGTTTCGCCCGAGCAACCGATCCAAACGACATATTTCTCAACTTTCTCATCCAAGAAACCCAAAGAACTGTAAAAGCCTCAGCAATTATACTCAACACTTTTGATGCATTAGATCAACAAGTTTTGGATGCTCTCTCTCAGTTCCTCCCTCCCATTTACACCATTGGCCCACTCCACTTACTCACAAAGCAAATCAAGCATCAAAATTTGGCTGCAATAGCCACAAATCTGTGGCCAGAGAATCCAGACTGCATCAAATGGCTCGATTCGCACGAACCCGACTCTGTGATCTACGTAAATTTCGGAAGCATAACCGTAATGAAACTCCACCATTTGGTCGAGTTCGCTTGGGGACTCGCAAATAGTAAGAAGTCATTCTTGTGGATCATAAGGCCCGATCTCGTGCGAGGTGATTCGGCGATCTTGCCGTGTGAGTTTATGGAAGAGACCAAAGGAAGAGGGATGATTGCGAGTTGGTGTGCGCAAGAGGAGGTTTTGAAACACGAGTCAGTGGCGGGATTTTTGACGCACTGCGGGTGGAATTCGGTTGTCGAGAGCATAAGCTATGGAGTGCCGATGATATCATGGCCTTTTTTTGCTGATCAGCCGACGACCTGCAGATATTGCTGCGTGGAGTGGGGCATTGGTATGGAGATAAATGGTGATGTGAAGAGGGATGAAGTTGAGAGTTGCATTAGAGAGGTGACGGAAGGGGAAAAAGGGGAAGATATGAAGAGGAGAATTGTGGGATTGAAGAGTAAAGCTGAAGAATCGTGTAAGAGTGGAGGATCTTCTCATTGCAACTTTGATAAACTAATAGTGGAAATTCTACTAAATTGTTGAGTGGAGACTTTTAAAGTAGGTGGATAAGGAATATTATGTGGAAGGTTGATGTCAATGGACGTGTCGTTTGTAATATCGATAAAATTCAGATGTTGATAGATATTTATAAAATGGGTTATAAAAATAAAAAAGTCGTTAAAAAGTATTTAAATTAAAAAAAATAGTATGGAAATGTCGATTTACTACTAATATCGATGTCGAACATGTTGATACATGACATCTCTAAGTAAGAACTTATTTTGTGTTTTAAAATTCAACTAAATAGTAGTTGATTTGTAATATTTTACAAGATGGCCAAATTTGATCAGCTTAGTACAAGTGATTAAGACACATGTATTTGATCGAGAGGGTTTGAGTTCAAATCTTTAGCCTAACATGTTATATATATATAGATAAATAATGAATGATGTTTGGTGCTTTTTGTTCCCATTTATTTGTATGCTAATCTAAATGAGACAATAAATACCACTTATTTATATATATATATATATATATATATATATATATATAAAATGAAGGATGATGAATGATGTTTGGTGTTTTTTGTTCACATTTATTTGTACGATAATCTAAATGAAACAATGAGATAATAAATATCGTTGTGGTATACCAATTTTCCTTTTTTTAGGTATGGGGCTAATACTAAATTAAAGTATCCGTGAGATAACGTAGTGGCAAGGATGTGAGGCCTTATGCTATCACTATTCAAACCTTGTACTAGTAATAGTATTACTCAGGTAACGTGTTCTGGTTATACAGATCCACTAGCGCAAGCTATATGACATCAACGATTCCAATAAACCCAATTAAAATATACTTTAACCTATATATGAATGATTAATTTTTTTTAAAGGTTACTTATGATTTGCAGATGAGAGCTATGTAACAAATGGATATCTTGAGACAACAATAATAGATTGGATTCTCGAGATGAAAAACATACAACTCAAAGATCTTCCAAGTTTCGCCAGAGCAACGAATCCAAACAACATTTAGCAAGAGAATAACGTAAATGTAGTCAACTTTTAGATGCCCCTACCTCTAAGGCTGGATCGCTACTTATAGCGTGAAGTTGTTCCAGAACTTT